GGTGTTTCACTAATAAAAAAAAATAAAAAATTATGAGTATGATTGACTGGTTCAGCACCTCCTTGATTGTGTGAGGAATGCCAAGAGAGAAATAGCCACAAAAAGATGCCAGTTTTCAAAAACTCTTGAGCTCATTCGCCAACATGGCTGGTCACGAGCCGCAGGGAACTGCAAGCGAATGTTCAAGCTCCCAAAGTAGTGCAGAGAAGTGATAAAGGAGAGGAGAGAAGAGAGAAGAGAGAAGAACAGCAGTGCTGGGCAGAAGCCGGGAAAATCATTCGCAATGCATGCCTGTCCTTTGCCAACTACAAGACCAAGATGACTGCTCTCTGACGTCCTGATAAATCTGTCACATCCTCCAGAAGGGAAATGGAGAAGATTATCCATGACTTCTGCTTGGATCTCTTTGATAGCCACGTCCACCTGCCCACAATACCAAATTCCGCAGGATCGATATGTCGTTCCTAACATTCTCCCTTCTGAAGTTCCATCAGTAAAGAAGCAAACAGCACCTGGCCCAGACAAGGTCAGACCCGATCACCTGAAAAACCGGCTATCAGTACTCATCAATACACTGGCTTGGCTCTTCACACGCTGCCTGTCTGAATGCAAGGTTTCGTCCCAATGGAAAGTCAGCAGGACTGTACTACTGTACAAGAAGGGAGACATCCACGACATTGGCAACTATCGCCTGATCTGCCTGTTGTCTATCTTCTACAAGCTGTTCACGTGAGTCATCCTGAATAGGATTGGCAGAATGCTAGATAAGGGACAACCATGCAAGCAAGCTGGGTTCCGAAAAAGATCCAACACGATCAACCATATCCACATGGTAACCAAGCTCATTGAGTTTTCTTTGAAGTTCAAAATGCCGCTCTGTCTAACATTAATTGATTTAAATAAGGCCTTTGATTTTGTTGAGACTGAAGTGGTCTTTGAAGCCCTAGTCAAACAGGGCATTCAAACTCAATACATCAGGATCCTCTGTGAATGTATTACAGATTCACTACCAGGATCTCACCATTCTAGATGGAAGTAATCATCCATGTCAAGAGAGGGGTTTGGCAGGGTGATACTACTTCTCTGAAACTCTTCAGTGCCACCCTCGAGAACGTTATGCGACGTTTGGAATGGGAAGGAATGGGAGTGAAGATAGCTGATCAGCAGCTACACCATCTTTACTTAGCTGATGACATCGTTCTAATAACACCAAACATCAGCCAAAGGCACAAATGCTGGCCGACTTTGACCGTGAGTGTGGAAAGGTCGGACTACAGCTGAAACTCATGAAGACAATGTTTATGAGAAATGGTCAAAAGTCAATTGTTTTCCAGAGCAAACAGATTGTTAATTTTCTTATCTTGCAAGTAAACATTTTGAGAAGAATTAAAAGGAGCTATTGCTAGAGATAAGATCAGGCTTTACAATTAAATGTTGAGATTTTATTTTATTTTATTTTTTTGTCTTTTCAGGTCACACACAGCAATGCTCAAAGGTTGCTCTTGGCTCTGTACTCAGGAATTACCCCGGCAGTGCTTGGAGGACCATACAGGATCCCAGGAATTAAGCTCGGGCCAGCCGAGTGCAAGACAAATGCCCTACCTGCTGTACTATCGCTTCTACCCCAATAATATGTTAAATTTAACTAAATTTATGATTCAATGTTCTAGAACAGAGGACAAAAGTTCCCATTAGGATTCCTTGATATTTTTTTAAATTTATATCACTTTTTGTATCATTCTCAGTCAATAATAATGATTTTATTACTAAGAAAATTTGTTTTGTCACAATTCTCTGTGACACTGCTTTCAGTCTTGTTTCAGTGATATCTTGTAGGAATGCCTCTATAGTCTTTAGCTACTTTCCTTTTGACTTTGTTTCCATGGGAATATGCACGTGAGGGCTACATAAACAGCACTCTTTTTTTTTTTTTTTGCTTTTTTGGTCACACCCGGAGATGCTCAGGGGTTACTCCTGGCTTTGCACTCAGGAATCACTCCTGACGGTGCTTGGGGGACCATATGGGATGCTGGCAATCGAACCCAGGTCGGCCACGTGCAAGGCAAACGCCCTACCCACTATTCAGCCCCAACAGCACACTTTCATAAACAGCACTCTTTGTTTGGTTTCTATGTTATAAAAGAAATAATGTTTTAAGGCAAAGTAGAGTTACTATGCAGTCTTCTCCCACCTTTGACTGTTAGGAAATCTTGAGAAGGATCAGGTCTACATTACAAAGGAAGGGAAGGACATAGTTCATCAACATTTCTAAAGATCTTGTCTCTTCAAAAGGAACCTCTCTCTAGCTTCCAGACAGTGGGTCACCTTGCAGATTCAGTTACTCTGATGGTTATATCAATGTTTGTTCTTTGAGAATATCAATAGTGTAAGACTTGTCCCATTGCTTAATGTAGACCTTCATTTAATAGAGCTGATGTATTAAAATTTTTGGTGGGAGATACACTATTAAGGAATTTATGTGGGAGTTCTCTAATGAGGCAGATATAAAGATAGGTCTGGTAGTTTCAGTTTGCTTAGTAACTTCAATTTACTTTTGACTCATCTAATTTTTTTTAAGAAACAAATGTTTATTGAAAAGCAAAATAGAAAGAACTCCAGCAGGGGAGAAACTTAGCAAAGGACTAAATTCCAGCTCATCTATTTTTCAAAATGTTTGTTTAACTCTAAATATTTTACTTGTCTCTAAATTTGCATTCCAGATTTCTTCAAAAAAGTATTCTTATGGATGCATAAAGCAAAAACTTTAAATAAATTAAGCAATGCAATAACATTTGCTAATTATGAACATGATTGTTTTCATTGAAATTTTAGTGAATTTGAATGAAAGAAAAAATTTTTTAAAGATTTTATAATAGAGAGACCAGAGAAACAGGTGGTGCATACATTGAGTGTGGCCAACCCTGGTGGAGTCCCTGATACCACATGGTACTTTGAAAATCATTGGGTGCTACCCTGGAGGTCCCTCAAGCATTCTCAGGGTAGCTTCTATAACTCATTCACTGAAGGGTCTGATCAGCAACACATCTTAGGTCCTTTTACTGAACTCTGCTCAGGTGGCCAAGAATAACTGAGGGACGCTGGTTTTCTACAGCACTGCTTGAGTGTACCCCTTCTTTTTTTAATTATGACTCAAAACATGATTTAGTCCCAGAAAAATTGCAATTGGGTTTGTTTAAGTTGTAGGTTTGCACCTTTTCATGAACAGTTGAGTAATACTTCTCTGTTGTGGGGCATGAGAAGAGACTAGTATCTCACTATATACCTGAGAGGACTGCTTGCTTTTCTCAGGAGAGGATCCTGTTAACCTAGTGGGACTAATTCTGAGCAAGGATTAAATGACTCAGGCAGACATTATGATGGGGACCTAACACACAAAGTAAGCCCTAATAAAGGAGGCATATTTAAAATCTGTAGTGTTTTATATTGTCTTGGTTAAATAAGCAGCTGCTACTTTGTTTCCTAGAACATTTATTATCGTTATAGCATGTATTAGTTTAATGCCAGGAGATTTGATGTCAACATTTCTAACATTTTTTCTTGTAAAACAGGAAGTCCCAATGCCTTATTGGTCCTTCCAATTATAGAAGATATTGATATTGAACATGAAAGCACTTTTTTCTAACTATCTGATAAGATGGGAAAGATTTCCCAGCCTCAAGAAGAGCCGGTCCCAACCGCTTTGGGAGTGGTAACCTATTGCGCATGTCCCAGTCCGAATTCTCCCACAGCCCAGCCTCCAACGCCAGTTATAGCGTTGGTTTTTGTGTGAGCTTCCGTTAACATCAATGTTTGGAGCAGGCTGCAGGCACCAGGCACCAGGCACCAGTCACCGCAGAAAACCCCCGAGAGCCCCCTGAAGCTAATATATATTGAGATCCCAAGTCAGTGATGTCAGGATGCTGTGGTCTGAAAGACACATTGGCCACCCTGGGGAGTTTGCAAATCCAAAGAACTTAGTCATATAAACCTCATTGCTGAACTGTGCTGGCTAAATGCCCCGATAATACTGGCTCTGAGTATTGTTGGGAAGATGAAGTGAAACGGTGCATCTAGGGTTGCTGAACCAAGGGCCTGAGTACATGGTGATTGATCTTTACATGTTCCAAGAGCTGATGTTTGGGCTTCTTGCTACAACTGTTCTTTTTTGCTTGGTCCCTATTTACAGTCACCCCTGAATAACTCTGAGGGCCATTGAATGTTCATCTGTAGGTTCTTTCCCCAGTCTATGTGTTAGCATCCCACAGCCTGATCATTTATGGATAGACCACCCACACCTTTTGGAGATATGTATCAAATCTCTTTATTTAACAATGGTGGTCATGAAACATAAAGATAGCCTCTGTGCAACTATTGTTTTACTTTTCATCAGGTTATCTTATTATACTAATGCTCCTTCTTTAGCCTATTCCATTTTATATATATATATATATATATATTAAACCAAACCCCCTCACTGTGCCATTTCTCCCCTTCTTTTCTGGAGGAGACTGGCGAAGGAGGAATACTTGCCTGTGTTCAGGGCTTACTCCTGGTTCTGTGCTCAAGGATAACATCTAGTGAGACTCGTGGGGCCACATAGGATTCCAGGGATGAATCTTGGGTCAGCCTTCTGCAAGTGCCCTATCAGGTATACTATTTCTCTGCCCCACCCCTCCCTCTCTTCATTGGGCCCATCAAATTTCTCCTCTTAAGGGCTTTAAAACCCTGAGCCAAGTTTCTCTTTCTTAGATTCTTGTCTGTTTCCCCTTTTGTCTCCCTCTAACTTCTATTTCTTTCTCATGAACCCTTCAACCCTCACACCCTCCAAATAACCACCACAGTGGAAAGCCTCTCAACATTCAGAACTTTTATTAATATTCACTTATATGCATCTATTTATTTAAAATATATATGTATCAGAATAAATGAAATGTGTATGGCATTTCAAGTGTTTGTCTAAGGCAACCATCTGGTACCTAAAGTGGCATCAACCATTCCAGCTACTTATAGCCACAGAATCGAGAGGTGTCCATATCTTTTTCTCTCTGGATAAAAAACTGCACTTGCCCCAAAGAGGTGCATTTGGCAGCGTTCTCACGCTCCTGTTGAGCCTTCCTCTTCATAGCCTCACGCTCTGGTCTCTGCTCTTTTGTGATGGGCTTTGACATGACTGGCTCGGGAACATTGGGCTTTCTCCATGGAATTGGTTGTAAATGGAAGTCTTGGAGTAGAAACTGACTCTGACGTTTGGGTGGAGCCTGGCACTTGCTCCCAGAGATAGGAAGAGGGCCCCGCTGGAGAGAAGTGCTAGCTGTTGTCTTGTAGGGAGCAGGTCTAGAAGTTGCAGGCTGAGAAATAGGCCGGCTAGTAGAGCTCAGCAAAGCTGGTCGAGATGGATTGGTCGAAATGGGCTGAGCTGGTCTGGCAGGATGTGACAAAGATGCAGTAGCTGGCCGGGATGAATTGGTGGCAGTTGGCTGAGCTGTGTTGGTAGAGACAGGCCTGGCAGGGTAAGCTGCAGCAGGACGATGTGAAGCTAGAGACTGTGGTTTCCGAGGAACACGTCGAGCTTGCGGCTTCTCCATGGTAAGAAAAGGCAAAGGTATCAATTTGACCTTCCCAGGAGGTGGCAGCTCATACAGGGATGGAGCCAAGAGTTCTTCAGCACTGCTGCTTGGTTTCTGAGCTTTGACCTGAGTTTTCTCAAGACCTTTTCCATGCCGTGCAGCACCTGGCCACGGTTTGACAACTGAGGAGGGCTGGACGTCTTTGGTCTTCTTTGAACTACTCAGGACCCTGGAGGAAGAGGATCCAGGCTTTGGATCACTTTTCTTCCCCACTGCATCAAACACTTGTACAGACTCCAGCATTTGCATGCCTAGGCAGCTGCGGGGCTTTTTAAGGGCCTCTTGGCAAAGCTCAGGTTGACTTAACTTGCGTTTCATCCTGGCAACGGTGGGCTTCTCTTCTGCCTTCACCTTCTTCCCTATCTGCTTGTCATCAGCTTTCTTAGAGTTTTCTCTGGCCTTTTTTGTCTTCTCCTGCTCATGGCTCTTTGTCTTGCTGATCCTGCTGGACGCAGCTTTCTGAGGTTTGCTGTTAGGTTTGGCCACGGTCACAGGACACCTGTCACTGACTGCAGCATTACAAACAATCCCTGCTTTCCCTAGCAAGCATTCTGGGTCTTTGGAATGGATTTTGGCTTTGGGTTCTCCCTCCAGAGGCTCAGAGGCCTGGTTTTTGTTCTTCCGTGTTGGATGGGAGGTCCCCTTAGTGCCACCTGAGTTTTCTTGCCCCTGATTCAGAGTGATGGTATCTGTGGTGTTCATTACCTGCAGATCTATACATTCATCTAGATCTTTTAAGCAATCAAAAAGCTGGGGAAGTTGTTTATCTTCAACCCATGTTGTGATGTCTGCAAAAATACCACCAGATTCAATTCTACTTTCAAGTGTTCCTGTGTCCTCCAAACACTGACCATCCTTTTCCTGGCGAGTAGTTTCAGTACCAGGCTGTTGCTCTTGGCTGAAAGGATCAATGAAGGCCAGGAGCTGGTGGATATCAGGGATTTCTAAAGGGCACAGTAGAGGATCTTGGTTTTCTATTGGGAACTGGTAGGTATCCAGAGACTTTGAAAGCCCAATGTTCATCTCATCCCAATTCTCATCTGTTTGTTCCCGTGTTGGAGCTGGGGGTAGTGCCAGGTTACATTGTGCTGAATCTATTATGGTAACATGTGGGAGCTCTGGTTGTGGGTTACTCTCAAGTATTTGAATCCTGCTACTGCAAGCCATGGATAATTCTGAAGTTGGTGTCAGACAAAATGTCTGATCGGAAGGTTGCAATGCCAGGGAAGTCTCCATCCCTAGGGAATTCATCACTACAAAGGAACCACAGAAGAAATCAGTGCCCCGTAAATGGGATACTCCCTCCACATAACTCGTGGTGCCACAATTGGGCACCTTCTGGCAATGGGCAAGGCATTGTTACTGGCTCTTCTAAGGATCATGGACAAGGCCTTGAGCTAGAAGATTGGAGGTAAGTGTTGTAGTTCTTACTGTTGGTCATGTGGTACCATTGTTTTCTTTGTATTTGAAAGAGTTTCTGTGTAAACTGTACTTAAAAATAAGAGACTTGGAACAGAGAAATAGCGCAGTCAATAAAGCACTTGCCCTGCGCACAGCTGACCTTAGTTTGATTCTCAGCATCACATTCGAGCCCCTAAGCACCTTCGTAAGTGAACCCTGAGCACACAGTGAGGTGCAAGCCCTGAGCACTGCGGTCTGTGACCCACATTCTGCCTCCCCCAAACTAAAGATTTTTTTTCAAGCTAGAGATTTGTAAACTATTAAATGCAATACAGAACTTAGCATAATATAGTCAATTTCTTCACTTTCCTGAAAAAAATACCCCGGAAGTTCATATCATGGAATAAAAGAAGGAATGAAGCACCACTTCCTCATGAATTCTGTGCTCAAGTAGAGATTCTAGGTTTGATAACTTTGGAAAGGATCTCTGAATATATTGTGTATTCAGAATCTTGTACATTAAAGTAAGGGGAAGTTAATGTGGTATCATCACAATAAGAGTTCTTAAATGTCTTCAGAAATCACAAAAACAATAATTTAAGAAATTTAGTTAATAACTAATTATTAATTAAATAATAATTAATGGAGTTCATTGTTACTATGGTAATACTGGTGGACTGATCAACTATGAAAATGTGGCATTCCTTGTTATGCTACTGAAGTTTTCTTATATGTAACCTAGGTGGTCTTTATACTATCATACCTTCCAATCTGCTTTAGAAGCTCTGATGTGGAGTGTGAAAATATGGTGCTATAAAATGAGTGAGGGGAGTTTAAACGTAACCTGAGTTTATTTAACTTCAGATTTCATAAATTTAAAAATCTCAGTGTATTTAACAGAAATGCCACCTGTCTATGGACAGTTTCCCACTTACAGATTTGACCGCAAGTTTTGAAGCCAGATTTCCCTTCTCTCCAGTTTACTCACCTTGATAACTCGATTCCGTGATGGGTGGAGCAGACACAGAGTAGTAGTTTCCAGAGGTGGAGGCTGGTGGTCGGTTATTTGGGGGCTGGACCTCCTTTAGAACCATAACCATTTCTGAAGATGCATTGTTGTAAGCTTGGAGGGCAGAGCCCTTACCTCCTTTGTATGTCATAGAGCCATTGGATTGCAGGCAGGGACCAGGTTCTTCAGAAAGGAGAGGTCCCTGAGTGCCCTGATGATAGTAAACCGCCTGGCTTCCTTCCTGGTTGGGAAGCGACAGGTTATAACTCTGATTTGGAACCTGAGATGGTGTCCTTTCCACAAGACTGGAAGAAAGTGATGGGTACAGAGACACTATGTGGTTGGTATCTAAGGTTTTCTCATGGCGAGCTGCCATAGACATGGAAGAGACAGTAGTGTCTTGGTCAAGGATAGTCACAGTAAAGTCTCCCATGTTAGACTTCTTTTCAGTACTTCCTGCAATATCCCACTCCAAAACACTTGGGTAGGAAGCAGACAGCGTGGATAGCTGGCTCTGGCCAGACACTCCAGACAGCATTGTTGTGCTAGAATGTTGGTCAAGATAGGCACTACCCATGAGTGGTTGGAAAGAGATGCAAGGATCTGAGGGCAGGAGCCAAGCAGATGTACCAGCTGCAGTAGATACGCTGGAGTAGTTGCAGACACTTCCTGTTAGGGAAGCTGCATTGTTCACCACGGGAAGGGGAAGCTGCAGAGAATGTGCAGTTCCCAATACTGATGGATTTTGAATATTTTCTGTAAGGAACAAGAGGGTGATGAAAAAAATCTGTGAGACTGATAATCTCTGACAACATTTTTTTTTCTTTTTGGTTCACACACACATGGATTTGTTGCTTACAGCTAGTTCCTCCTTGTCCTAGCTCTACCCGTAGCTTGCTCTCCTATTGAACTTTACGTTATTTCCTAGAATGGAAGCATTTTAAAACTAGGAAGTCCTAAGAGGATGACTAACATGTTATTGGAGAAGAAAGAAACCCGAGGCCCAGAGATGGCATAGAGACTTGTTCAAGCTTTCCATTACTTTTACTGGGATTGGGGTGGGGTGGAGTTTGGACCAGTACCCGGCAGTGATCTTGGGCTATTCCTGGCTCTGTACTCTGGAGTGATCCCTTGTAGTGCGCAGGAGACTGGATGCAGTCTCAGAGATCCAATTGGATTGGCCACCTACAAGGCAAATGCCTTATCCCCTCCTGTACTATCTTACTTTCCCTTATGTATTACCAGGTTACGGAACCTAAGCATGTGAACTTTCTTGCTAGGACTCTGCCTTGATCACTACAATATCAGAAACTAGGAGGAAGATGCTTTCCATTCATATAGGCATGTGGGGTCTTTACAACTATTGCCATTGTAATCTTCAGGTTTTGTATTTTGCTTGTGCAGTTCCTATCTATTACCTACGACTCGCATATAACTCAAACTACTTGATGAACTGAAGGTTCACAACCGTACTCTGGTTTCTGATCCCCCCCTCAAAAATGAGTACTTTAGTTTTTCTCAAGATGTGCTTTTAGAAGGAAGACTGTTGTTTAAATTCTGAGTCTCAAGTTGCTTTCCTGCAAAGGAGTTACTTACAACTCTAATTAAGAATAATGTGCACACAGAAATAAAATTTGTCTATTTCACATGATTTACATGGGAGGAAGTATAGAGATAAAGAAAAAAATCATGAAAAACATGTATCACAGAACTGAAAAAGAAGTATTTAGATATTAATGAAATCTGGGCTATGTGGCAAGCACTATAGTACAGTAACTGATTGAGAGCAGCCCCAAGAGTAAGCCCTGACCAACAGTGAATGTTGTCCCCAAACCAAACAAAGAAAACAGTACAATAAGTTTATTAAGAAATTGTGTCATGTTCTACAACACCCAAAAGGAGAGAGAGAACAAAAGGGAATGCCCTGCCACAGAGGAAGGGGGGTGGGGCTGGGGGGGGATATTATCCATGGTGGTGGAAAATGGGCACTGGTGGAGGGATGGGTATTTGATCATTGTATGACCGAAACCCAAGCACAAAGATTTGTAAATCTACAACTGTACCTCATGGTGCTTCACTAATAAAAAAAAATATATGTATATATAAAAAAAAGAAATTGTGTCATGTATATGATATGAAGATACTATTCTATTTTAGCAAAAGCTACTAGCCAAAAAAGGGAATAGAAGGTGAGTGTATAGCTTACCAGTCCATAAAACTGAAGATTTACCAGTAACTTACATAACAAGCAGAAAATAAAATACATATAATTGCATTTGGTAGCCAGTATGTGTTTTAAAGGAGTATGAAGCAGAAATAAATATAATAATTATAAGTAAATGTCATTATTATTCTCATTCATACCTCTGAATATTAGTCATCAAACAACAGTTACTAAATAGAGCATACAATTTCAGTAAATTACACAAGAAGCAGAAAAGACCATTTAAAAAATGATCACAAAAATTTCAGATTTATTTTTAAAACCTAGATGACAACTATCTTTATCAACCAGGAAAATGTCATTCCCAAAGTTTCAGAAACAATCACCAAAATCCAATCGAAATATTTTTAATGTTGGAAAACTCAGATTCCACAAAACTGAAATCAATGTGTACTTAGACAACTGAGACTTGACTTTTCTATTTCTTCTTAGGATCTGAAAACATGTCGACTGCTATCAAAATGCTGTCATGTTAGGAAGAAAGTACTTTTTTTTTCCATTTTGGTCACACCCAGCATTGCACAGGAGTTACTCCTGGCTCATGCACTCAGGAATTACTCCTGGCATTGTTCAGGGGATGCTGGGAATCAAACCTGGGTTGGCCGCGTGCAAGGCAAATGGCCTACCTGTGGCAAGGCAAACACCCAACCTATTGCTCCAGCCCAGAAAGAAATTCTTTGTGAAGATGACAAGTTGCCTTAACCTGGACCCTACTTACCACACAAAAGAATCAGTTCTCCTGATTCAAGTTAGAAGATATCACTTCTTTATTTTAACAGGCAGAGCATACATGTACCTGACAAACTAGAATGTAATAAAAACACTGAAGATGAGGTATCTTCAATCCCCCTAGGTAACCAGTATTAGTTATTTATAGGAAGTATCATTTCTAAAACGTGTTTCCATTCAAAACCGCCAAGTGCCAACGGTGTTCTAGAGACAAGAAAAAAAACCACAACCATGGTTTTATGATAGGCTGTTTCTCCTACTGGTACTCTACTCGAGACATAGTATGTTTTCTAGTCGTAGAATTTATTAAATTCAACTGCTTTGACTTGCTCTCAGCATAGTTAACTATATTCTTTCTGTTTGGATTTGAACTATTTGGTTCTCTCCAACATTCTATCTCAAACTGTTTCTCCTTCCTTGACAATTTCCCTCCATAATATTTCTTTCCTATGTTATTCTCCCTCATATCATCTTCTACTTCTTGGCTTCTGTTCGTCAAAGTTTGTTGAAAATGACCCTAAACTTCTTTACCTTTGAGGACTAGCCCCCTACCACTCAGCACTCCACACCTTCCCCACAATCCAGTTTTTCTTATCATCGAGTTTAGATAGAAAACTCAAAAGAGTTTTCAAAACACATGATAATGACTTTTGAATAGCACTAAGTTTAAAATACTAAATTATAAATACAAGTGGAGAGACCGCTGCAGATAAAACATCCTGGTATATATTAGGTTTTCTACCAAAACTACATTTTCTGTTTCTGTCAAAATATTGTCTCTGATTTACATTTTTCATGGATATTGTGTAGAAATAACTATTAAAAGGAAAAGGAAACACAGAGAGTGAACACTCATATATAAACATGTATTTGAAGTTGTAAGTATGTATCAACTATAATGTAATCAATGAAGAAAAACACTTTGTATGTGAGAGAAAGGAAGTCAATGTCTAAAATCACACAGCAAATGTTAACGTCAAGCTAAAATAAGGCTTACCATATTCTAGTTGAATACTTTCCTCTATTATTACATGCTGCTTTTCCTTAACTACCAAATTTAGGGATAAGAAATCTAATAAAAAGCTTTGAAAAGTATTATTCCTTACCTGACATGATCAGAAAAGAGGAAATATCAAGGAAAGGTAAATGAGAAGAGGAGACAATATGAGAGTACGTCTGAACACTGAAGTGGAAGTCCACAAGTGACCAGTACAGATGACTGATCACTGGTGATTGGTCATTGGTCACTGGTCACTTGTGATGATCCAAACTTGTTAACAAACAACTGCATGGGAGCCCCAAGATTCTACCAGGTGCTGGTAGCTTTGGTGGGAGAATGATGTCATAAAGCAGGCAGTTGAAAGGTAGAGGCTAGCCAATAGGGAGGTCAGATTCCCAAGAAGAAGACTGGATTGGATAGACTGAGAGGTAGACTTAAGCAGGCTAGAGAGATGGAATCTTACGAGACAGTTATAACAGTTTCACCTTCCTCAGACTCTTAGGTTAGGGAAATGTTCCTATTATACTGATGAGCTTACATATTTCATTAATAAATCAACAGTTACTATGTAATACTTATATTTCCTAGTTAACCAATAACATTAAGTTACTACTAGTGTATTTTGTATACTGTTTCATGATATTAAATTATATGTTAATGCCTTGTAATATACATTATTACTCACGTTAGGGTTAGGAAATAATGGATTATTATGAGAAATCTTCCCCTAACAAAAAACCCTAAGTTTAGGGTGTTCCGCTAGAAAACATGCACCCAGAAAAGAAGAGTAGGCAAGGATAGAATAGATGACAAAGTATCTGCCAGCTGTAAACTTGTGCAAGGCAAACATAGACTAATACTTTGTAGGATCTTTTAGATTTAGAGGAAAATATAGTCAAAAATAGAATAAACAACTTTCACAATCTTTTATTTATTTATTTTGATTTTGGGTCCTCACCTAGCCATGCTCAGGGCTTGCTCCTGGGTCCACACTCAGGAATCACTCCTGGAGGAGCTCGGTAGACTGGGTGCAAGAGAGGTACCCTGCCCACTGCATTATCTCTCCTGCGCAAACAACTTTTATGTTTTATGGATCCTTACTGATTCTCTGTGAACTACACTAGCCTCTGCTCTCCATGTCCCAGTGGCATGTGTATATACATCCTAACTGTCCTTGATGTCTCTGTCAACTCCAACAATGGCTCACCTGTTGGGATCTGCTGGGTTTGGGGAAGCAATATAGCATTATATTGACCTGCCATGAGACCACTGATGTCTGCACACGTGACCCTAAAGCTTGGCCAATCCACGTGTTTGTCAATTCTGTGTTTGTCTCATTCTCTGTGACTGACCACTGCTGAATGGAGGTTCAAGGTGACAATTGGATTTGGCAGATGAGAAACAATTTAGACAGATTATAACCAATTATTGTGATCAACAAATTATACCATCTATTAGAAAATCCCAAGTAGTGTGGGATAACTGGGGACCTATGAAAAGAATCAGAAAGAACACAAGAAATACTTGAAGGAAGTTGTCATTTAAAATAGTATCGTCATCTGGAACAAAGTGATAATCCAGTGGGAAAAGCACTTGCCTTGCACATGGTGGACCTGGATTCAATCCCTGCCATACCAATACATATGGTACCTTGAACCCTTGAGGATGGTCTTCATACATGGTAAGCACCCTTCTCACTGTACTATCAATCCAGATAGCCCAGGAAGTGTGTGTGTGTGTGTGTGTTATGTATGTGTGTTTGTTTGTGTGTGTGTGTTTGTGTAGACAGAGGTTTTGGGCCAGCCCCAGTGATACTCAGGTACTCCTGTCTCTGTGCTCAGGAGTGACTCCTTGTGGTGCTCATGGGACCATATGTGGTGCTGGAGATAGAACCAGGGTCAGTCACATGGAATATTAATATATTAACCCCTACATTTTTGCTCAGTGCTGGAGCAGAAATATATTTTAGAAGTGAAAAAATGATGAGCCAGTAGGAACCAGTGCAAAGACAGAATCAGGAAATTTACTGGGGAAGGATCACCCAAGTGGCCAGGGACTGATTTCATACTGCAACTGCAGAGATGAGCAGAGACAGAGACAGATCCTCAAAGAGTAACCAATTTACTATGTGTAGTTTTTTAAATAGAAAATGTTCGCTGATCCCTAATTAGCAAATGGAAGAAAGAAAGGAAGACTGAGAGGAAGAAAGAGAGAAAGAAAGAAGGAAAGAGAGAAAAAAGAAAGAAAGAAAGAAAGAAGAAAGGCATATGTAAAGAAGGAAAGAGGGATGGAAGGAAGGAAGGATGGAAAGTACAAAGGAAGAAAGAAAGAAAGAAATTAAGGAAGGAAGGAAGGAAGGAAGGAAGGAAGGAAGGAAGTTTTCGGCTGCTGGGGTTGGCTCCATTGGACCTCACCCACTCTCCCTCTGGGATGCCCTGAATAAAACAGGCTGGCATGGGGTCTAGGGGCATGTCTATGGTGTATTGCTCTCTTCTGAGAGATTTATTGTTGTGTCTCTGGATCACGGCCATTGATGAGATTATATGGTGCCAGAGGTGGTTTGTGGGTGTGACTGCCAAGCTGCTGGAAACGGGGCGTTGGGGAGAGGTCAGCCATTCTCTGATTTCATTGAGCCTAGAGTTTTCAGTCAGAAGTCCCACATACCTGAGTTTTTTTGCAGATTCGCGCATAGATGAGGGTTGTCCACACATGCGGATAGCGGCCATGATCACGGATTTCAAGTTCTGGAGGATTTTGGCTGCTGGGGCTAGCTCCATTGGGGTGGAGCAGGGACGGGACTCTAAATAGATTTTGAATCACTTTATCTTTATTTTCTTATCTTTTTTTGGAGAGTTCTCTTGATTGAATCTTTATATTTTTTAAATGTTATTTTATTGAATAATCAGAGTCTCCTATTCCGTGCCTGACTGTCGTCACCAGGGCCCGACAGCTGAAAACCTCTGGGACCCAGCCAAAGCCATGCTGAGACCACTCTCCACACGCTTGGATGAGCCTCATGCATAAAGGAACTGGCAGAGGAACCCAGGTGTGTAGGACCCAGGACTGAGATCTTCAAGCCTGCACGATTTGGGACTAGGCCTTCCAGTAACTAGACAGTTACACCCACCAACTGCACTGTAACCCCAACAATGGCCAGGATCCAGAGAGTATCACACCAAGCTCCCGGAAGAGAACAAAGCAGAGTCTCCTACCTCGTGCCTGACTGTCCTCACTACTGCCCGACAGCTGAAGACCTCTGGGACCCAGCCAAAGACATGCTGAGTCCACTCTCCACACACTTGTATGAGCCTCACACATAAAGGAACTGGCAGAGGAACCCAGGTACCGGCAGAGGAAAAAAGGCATGTGGGTCCCGGGGCTGAGATCTCCAAGCCTGCTTGGATCGGGGCTGAGCATCCTCCACCCAGATCCTCCATCTTCCAGTAGGCAGGGGTCACACCCACAAACTGCCTGACCCCACCCCCACCCCGCCCCGGCGCTGTGTAATCCCATCAACAGCCAAGACCCAGAGACTATAAAACCCAGCTCCCAGACATCTTATTATCTCATTCTTGCTTTGGACAACCTGGCAGGCTACCGAATGTAACCTGCCCACACGGCAGAGTTTGGCAAACTCCCCGCGGCGTACCAAATACAATATGCCAAATACAAGTAAAAATGATGGGTCTCATTCTCCTAACCCTGAAAGAGCCTTAAATATGGCACTTTTTAAAATCTCAGGGTTAGGACGAAGGAGACGTTACTGGTGCCTGCTCGAGGCAATTGACGAACAACAGGATGATTGTGATCATGATCTGATAAGATGGGAAAGACCTGGTTGGAAAAATAGGATAATACAAACATTTGATTTATTTTGTTCCTCTAAATTGTGTGATTTTTAATTTCACCTGGGCATAGAAAATGACAACTAATTTAAAAGCAAGAGCTAATGATCCATTATGGGGTTCACTGGAGAAAACATGAAGGACACGTAAAAAAAATATGCAGTCACAAAACACACACACAAAACACAGGTTTTTAATTTATTTTTTATTGAATCATCATGAGATACAGTTACAAAGCTTTCATGTTTGAGTTTCAGTCATACAATGATCGAACACCCATCCCTCCACCAGCTTTCCATCATCAATATCCCCAGTTTCCCCCTCCTTTTCCCAATCCTCCCCCTACCTCTGTGGCAGAGAATTTCCCCCGTACTCTCTCTTTACTTTTGGGCATTATGATTTGCAATATAGATACTGAGAGGCTATAACATTTGGTCCTTTATATACTTTTGGCACTTATCTCCCACCTCAAACGATCCATCCAACCATCATTGACTTAGTGATCCCTTCTCTATTCCAACTGCCTTCTCCCCCCAGATCATGAGGCAGTTTCCCAACTATGGAGTAATATTCCTGGCCCTTGTGTCTACTGTCCTTGGGTCTCATATTAAGTTTATTTTATATTCCACAAATGAGTTCAGTCATTCTATGTCTGTTCCTCTCTTTCTGACTCATTTTACATAGCATGATGCTCTCCATGACCATCCACTTATATGGATGACTTTCTTTCCAAATAGCTGCATAGTATTCCACTGTGTAGATGTACCAAAGTTTCTTTAACCAGTTATCTGTTCTCGGGCATTCATCTTGTTTCCAAATTTTGGCTATTGTGAACAGTGCTACAATGAACATACAGGTGCAGATATCACTTCTACTGTGTTTTTTTGCACCCTCGGGATATATTCCCAGAAGTGGTATTGCAGGGTTATATGGAATCTCAATTTCTAGTTCCATATTGTTTTCCAAAAGGGCGCTACCAGTTAGCATTCCCACCAACAGTGAAGGAACATCTCTTTCTCCCCACATCCACACCAACACTGCTTGATTTTGTTCTTTTGAATGTGTGCCAGTATCTGTGGTGTGAGATGATGTCTCATTGTTGTTTTGATTTTCATCTCCCTGATGATTAGTGATGTGGGGCATTTTTTATGTCCCTTTTGGCTAGTTGTATTTCTTTTTTGAGGAAGCTTCATTTCTTCTCCCCATTTTTTGATGGGGTTGGAAATTTTTTTCTTGTACAATACAACTAGTGTCTATAACACAGTTTTATAATGGAGAAATAACAAACCTAAAAAGAAATCTCTAGTTTTAAAATAAGGGTCTGAGGAAATGAGCTCAGCTTTGTTCTCACCTTGGAACTAGATCTGCTTCATTCCTCAGTCTACTAAGAAATTTCATATTACCTAACCATATCACACAATACACACACACATACACACAAACACCATTCATTATTGGCTATTTCCTCAGGAACTAGCATTTAGTTTTAAACAAGTATGTTCAACATTTTATTTCAGAGAATACTGAAAAGTAAAACTATACAACATGGTTTTAAAAATGTTGCATTCATATTCATGCTTTAGAGAATAAGCAGCTAGGACATTTCTTAAAAGTAAAGGGTAAAGCAAAGTTTAATTTTCTAAACCTATATTACTACAAAAAAGTAATTGACAATTCAAAAGAATTTCAAAATATTTGTTTGTATGGAAAAATGGAAAATTAAAAAGGAGTCCATAACTCAACCATTTTAAGAAGCTCTGATGATGATTGTGTATTTTATTTTGTTTTTTTTCTAATCTCATATCATACTTTTTGTAACAAACAGAAAATCTTATAATTTTTTGAAATTTAGATATAGAATAATAGACATAAGTTGAGTCAATCGATCTCTGACTCATTAAGGAAGAAAAATTTAACTGTAAAGTTAACGTAAGTGCAGCTTTTAAATCTTGGTATCAATATCACTTTCTCTGTAATCTTTTTAGTACATCTGTATTCACATAATAGATTTAATAGATTGTTGAGGGCAACAGGCTTTCAAATTGTTGTAATTAATATCTTAATAGGTGTTTCTATAGAATATTTAGGAACTGGCTCAGAATCCATGAAAGTGGGTGTCTTCCTTTTTTTTTTTAACAAGTTCCCTCTCTTCCCCAGGAAACTAGTTGAAGGTATCCAAAATTAAAAAAAAACACTTATAAAATACAATGTAAATGGCTGGATATGAGAGCTGTTTTTCCCCTGTCTGAAAACTATTAGATGAGTGACTTAGAGACACATCAAATCATGTTCTTCATTTATAGGTTTAAGACACAGACATAGGTGAGAAATACTATAGTAATTAGATCTTTTTTCATAGTATAGTGGGCATAGAGAAATATGTTTTTAAAAATTTTTATTAGTGAAACACCATGAGGTACAGTTGTAGACTTACAAATTTTTGTGCTTGGGTTTCGATATACAATGATCAAATAAATACCCATCCCTCCACCAGTGCCCATTTTCCATCAGCATGGATCCCAGTATCCCTCCCACCCCCAGCCCCCCCATTCCACCCTGCCTCTGTGGCAGGGCATTCCCTTTTGTTCTCTCTCTCCTTTTTGGTGTTGTGGTCTGCAAAAGAGGCATTGAGTGGCAGTCATGTTCGGTCTATAATCTACTTTCAGCATGCTTCTCCCATCCTGGGAGGATCCTCCAAACACCCTTTATTTGGTGCTTCCTTCTCTATCTGCCTTTCCCCCTAGCATGCCCGGCTGGCCTCTAAGCCATGGAGTAATTCTCCTGGTAATTATCTCGTCTATTCTTGTGTATTAATCTCCTATTTTGTTACTTTATGTCCCCCACATGAATGCAATTCTTTTATGTCTGTCCCTCTCTTTCTGACTCATTTCCCTTAGCATGGTACTTTCCATGTAGTACCACTTGTATGTAAATTTCATGACTTCGTCTTTTCTAACAGCTACATAGTACTCCATTGTGTGGATGTACCAAAGTTTCTTTAACCAGTCATCTATTCTCAGGCACTCAGGTTTTTTCCAGAGTCTGGCTATTGTAAAGAGTGCTGCAATGAACAAACAAGTGCAGATGTCACTTCGGCTATACTTTTTTTGCCTCTCTGGGATATATATTCCCAGGAGTGGTATTTCTGGGTCAAATGGGAGCTCAATTTCTAATTTTTTGAGAATCGTCCATACTGTTGAGAAATATGTTTTAAGTAGAAAAGAATATTTAAAATATAAGAATATATTTCAAAAGGAAAAGATTTTCTCTCCTGGCACTGAAAACACTGGCTCTCATCTGAGAGAAGGACACCATCTGAGCAGGACATGAGCTTCTTTGAGCTGAGTAACCCTGACGAGAAAAGGCAATTATACTCCTATAATGCCAAGGAATTCTGACAACAGTGAGTTTGGAAGAAGACTCTGAAACCTAGGTGAAAACACAGCTCCACAAACACTTTGATTGTGTCTTGGTGGGATCCTAAGTGAAGTCACTTCTTAGCTCTTATCTCGCCTCATAATTCATGGAAAATGTAAAATAATACATATGTTCTGACTTGTTATAAAATGTCTCTTTTGTGAATTTCCCACAGCAACTAGTACAGTGTATACTTAAAAGTCTGTGAATAAATGTTAAGTGAATAAAAAGATAAGGAGCCGAGTCTGTCTTTTTAAGCAACTTTTAGACATTTTAAAAGAAAGTCTAAGTTACTTCCAGCTGAGTCTTATGATTCATAAGAAAAAAATTCCATTAAAATCATTATGGATATACAGTATTAAAAAGAGAATATGAAAATAATAAGATTCATTTCATAAATCATCTGAGTTTTTTTGCCTTATTATATTATAGTCATATCAAATATTTTGGAAAGGAAATGGAGAACAGATCATGAAACATGTTTTTGGTTGATGAAGGGGAGAATATCAGCAAAT